TAAGTGAAGCAATTGAAACTATAGCGTTTTTTCTTTCAGAACGGATGTTTTAGGTCTAGATCGGAACCTTTGTAGAACCACAAGATTGTCGGGCTGATTTAGGTAAATTTAACTCTCTTTTAGTTCATCTCCTTAGCCTTATACATAATCCTTCCCTAGATATGTTTGTGAGTATGGCCAACCAAACGAATCCACTGGAAGCAAAACGCTGTGAATTCGCGAGTCCGGACGCCCCGATCACCCCAAAATTCGATCACTATTACAACCCTACAAAGCAAAATGATCGCCACGCGGCATATTTCTGACAACTGAAAGAGCTTTAATGGGTTATATAATCGCGATTACTTAATTTCGAGATATTTCAAGACTGTTACGAGATGTCGATTTCGCAATAAACCTTACGCAAGAAGAGAACTTGGTAGATTTTAACACATATTTCATGGTCATTTAAACAAAAACTTACACTTTCCACGTAAAAAATTGCTTTAATCCTTCTGTGATGAAACGGCTGCAAAAAAGCGCTGAATTCTCTTAAAAATCGTGTTTTTGGAAACAATTCTTCTCCATATATTTCCTTGTAGAAACTTGCAGTGTTTGTCCCGTGGCGATCCTAGAACCGTTTGCGCATAGCAGAGGGATTCAGTTACTGGCATCTCATTCATTATGGTTCAATTATTGACAACCGGGGTAGGTGACTATTAATTGCTCCTTATGACATTAATAAACCTTGAACGGTAATTATAAATATCGCCACATTTAAATTGGACGTCAAGGACAATTGAAACATTTATTTTAAAGTGATCTTTATACCCGAAAACGAACTTTCAAACAGTTCAAGGGTCTTTTCAGTTTTGTTTTATTTCATGGCTATTATCAGCGGTCTGCTGATCAACCAAGCTTGTCACGTAATGCGAAGGATGCATTCTCGAATATACAGAATAAATGAACTTAGAGCCGGACTGCTGAATTCTTTTTTAATGACTGAGTGTGGTGCTTTGAAAGTCTTGTTGCAACACAGATTCATTTTCAAATTATGTTAAAGCAAAATAAACCAATAAGGGCACCCTTTGAAATATTCAAACTCTCACGATAGCTGAGAAAAGGGGACAACGTAACAGCTATGGCGGAAATTAGATGTGTTCGCCAATATTAAAAGAAGAGACTAAAAAAGCCAAAAGCTGAGTTAAGTTAATTGCTAACTAGCTCACAGGTGTGCTCAATGGTTAAAATTTTCCCGCGATAATTATTCACTTTAATTGCTTTCACCTTGCTCCTGTAGAATCTTATGTTCGCCGCAATTAGATTAGGAATAAATTACACTTAGAGAACGATGTTTTTCGTCTTGTCACGAGGGTGGGACAAAAAAAAAATTCTGAGTTTCCATGAGGAATCGACCCTAAGACCTTCGGATTCCGTGCTCCGATGCTCTACCACTGCGCCACAGAGACTCTAAGGTGAGCGAATTCGATCAGTTACGAAGTTCGTATGATACGCATCCTGCACACTGCTAGGATCAGCCATGTCGATAGTGTCATGTTTGCAAATTACACTTAGTTTTTCGCTTACTTTAGAAGGTTTCGTAATTGTTTAGAACACTTCATGGAAGAAAATTAATGGTAAAAGGGCTACTGAGCAAAGTAAACGCCATCCGAAAGAGAAACTAAGATATTACAGAGTCAAGGTTTTATTGTGAAAGAATTCCTTCTAGCTCATAATGAGGGTAGAGGCATGTATTAAACTGAGAATGCTATTTGAAACGTTGTTATCTCCCTCTTTCTCAAACTTAAGGCCTTCCTAACTTTGAATTCATATTTATCGTCGTTAGTATAGTATCATCCCAAGACTTAAGCTTAATATGAAGTATGGCCCCACAGCTCACGTCACGCAACCATGTCCACCAAACGTTATCGTAATAAACAGATTAAACCATTTCCAAGATGCCTCAAGCAAAGGTCACGAACGTGCCTTTTGATATGAAAATGAGTTGTTTCAGTTAATTGTCAAGCAAAGAGACTCTATTTTCACCTGAAATGTTTGAGCTTCTTATGCGGGCAAGATTGCACTTCTGGAATTTGAGATGACTTATTGAGAGATAAATAGGTCGTTCATTTAAGGTACCGCATAGAGTTCCTTTGCAAACGAGACCGTTTGTAGTGAGTTTTCATATCAAAGATGTCAAAAAGTGGATTTTTGACAATTGTTGACTGGCTTAGTTTGGTTCCAAAAATGCTCGACTTTCCGGTTGAGCAGGATCATTTAAAAATTGCCTAGAGGCATGATTTTATGATGATGGCAGCCTTTCTCTTCAACTTTTCTAACGCAAGATTACCACCGCCAAGGTTAGATTTTATAAAGGGCACAGAAAGAACTGAACCCAACAGAGCAGCGGCTTTTTTAGATTTTGATAAGTGCGTTTCGTCTCTATTTGAGTCTGTCCAAAACCGTAGTTTTGTGCCGAGAGTTTGACGTAATTAGAACTTGAATAAATAAAATTCGATTGTCACTAAATACAACAGGATAGCTTGTGAACTGAAAAGATATTCTCACAACTTCTATCAGATGCATCAGTAGCATTATAGCTCGAAAACAAAACGAATACAAGCTTTCGATGTGCGACGAAGGAGCTCAACATCTATCTTCTTTTCCTTCTTTTTATACACTAGGCGCTCACTAAATTGCTAATCTTATACTGACAGAATGAAGGGATTTTGTCACATTCCAACCTAGTACATGCATAACTTTTCACATTATCAAACATTGGGTGGCTTCCTGGTGGAGCGAACTTCTGAAGCACGAATCCTTCCGCAAGGGAGACTCTGGCTCTTTTTAAATTAGTACAATTTCATCAGAATGAAGAGGGGTGTGTCGGGAAAATGATGGTGTCACATTTTTGACAGAAAGCTCAATCAAGATGACTCCTCAGCAAAAAGAGTTATCGGACAATTTTTTTTAAATTTTTCCTAACATGTTCCTCACCAATGTCTGTTTTGAAAAATACAATAAAAAAGATAGGTCACCGCGCTTGTTTCAGAGATATGAATGGGTAAACTTACCTCCTTTATCCTTGTACCGACACTAATCACGCGCGTCATTTCATCGTTCGTGGTACATTTTGCGGTAGCTGAAGCAAGGATTCCTAGAGTAACACTTGAAAAAGAACTTCATAGGTATAAAGTCTCGAGCATATGAAACAATATGATGTATAATTTGTGGAAAAATCACGTTAGTTTAGACGACAAAAACGTTCCTCGAGTCGTTGCTTCCAGGTTCATAATTTGCATCCTCGAGAAATGGACTTCGTTCACGCATCACGCTACATCTTGTTTTCCCTCCGTTGAATTTTTTGTTTTAATTTTTCAAATTAAAGAGGACAATTGGTAAACCAAAATTATCGCTACAGGGCAAAAGTAAACCTCGTTAATATCAAGCGTAAACGTGAATCTAAGAAGGTCCCTAACTCAATTGATCCAGACGTTCCGCTTTGGTGTGATGATTCTATAAATTCAACAACCAAAGATTATACCAGCGAATGTAGGACCAGGTAATGGTCAAGGCTAATGTATGACTCTGAAATTTTCCCATTAATTAAACAAAGAATCCAAATATCTTTAAGTGCCTTGAATAAACTATTTATTCATTTAAAATTTTAATTGTAGGTTACATAGGAAGTGCACTGCTGAATATTTACCCAAAAACCTGAGAATCCGAATACTTATGTATTAAGATCCAACTCCTCGTGGGAAAGATGAACTCCCCAAGAGAGTTTTGATCTTTACCTAAATTAACCTTTGCTTTCCATCTTTTATTTTTGTCAGCTTTTTTAACCAGAACCATTATAAACTATGACTCAAAAACAAGTTTTTGATCGCTAATGTTGAAAAGCCGCTATTATTCACTACAAAAATAATCACTTGCTCTAAAATTTAAGAAATACAATATGATGCTTAGTAATTCATGAAACACTCAGTGGAAAAATGAAGTGTTTCAATTAGCCAATGACGTAGCTTAGAAGCTAGAATCAATATTCAGTGGATTCAAGATTCAGAAACTCAAGCGATCGCAAAACATAAGAGGATCAATCAGTTAAACAGACTGATGACCGAATATTTTAATGATTGCAAAAAAAATCAAAACTGCAGTACAAGTTGTTTCTCCCTGTGCTTTCTGAAATATGGTTTCCAGTCCTATTGATAAATCGTACGAGAAAAAACACAAAACTGTCTCTTAGGTCCTAACCTTTGCCTTCTATTTTTGGAATTGTCTTTAGAACTGTTGCTTGTAACAGTTTTGCAACAATTGAGACTTACTTTTTAACTCCTTCATGGTCTTTGTTCAAGCAAAATAATGCAAATGACTTGTATCAAAAGATAAAAAATTATAGGCTCCACCTATATTTTGTTTCTTCTCCTGCGTCAACAGGCCCGGTCAAAAGTTCGGATTTTGATATCACCATCTCTCTAAATCTTTCGGTGTTTTTGGAGTAGTGTATCGAATTCTTCTAAAAAACGTCTCAGCACTATTCATATATTTTCATCTACGAGATTACAAAACCGAAAAGCTATCAAGAAAAACTAGTTCTTCATTGTCTACGTGAGTAAATAATGCCATATTAGGAGGCATTCCTGTCGCAAAAAACTCACACGCCTGGAGTAGCGAATTCTTGAGCGCCACTTGATTCAGTCAGTGTTACATTATGGCGACGCTTGCGCAGCACAATGATGACAGCGACACAAACAATGGCGACAGCCACGACTCCACCGACCACCCCAACAGTGACAACATGGTTAGGAACAGACGAGTCTTTATCCCCATCAACAACGGTGTCAGCTGATGATACAGAATAAAACTCCGATTAAAAAAATTAAGTTCAATACTTTTTGTTAAATACGAGAAATTAGTCGATTTTCTTAGTTCGAAAAGGGAGGTTTATTACTATTTTCATTAAATATTGAAGCCAAATTAATTGCGTTATTAAATGAAATGCTGATGTTTCGTTTGCCATCATAGCCCAAATCATGATAACGAATTCATTGAACAGAGGAGTAGATACAAACCTTGCTCTTCCCCTTCATCAGCATCTACAAACGTGAAAGGACCAGCTCTAATGTAGTATAAGGTTTTCGAGGTCTCGTCTAAAGTACTACGCCTTTTTCGAGCGCCACAATTGCAATCGCACCCAGGAGAACCGTCATAACAAACTTTGGCTGTGATGGTAAATACAACCTTTTGACTCCCCGTTTGACCAGAGAAACGAAAAGCTTTAAATGAAAATTGGTCTTCCTTATCACCATCACAGGAGGAAGGGTCATCCACGAAGGATGTTTGGTCGTTTTCCGCACAGCTGAATGTAAACAGAAACCTCTCTTTAATGAATCATGCAGAAATCAATTTGTAACCAACTTAAGCATCATTTCAAAATACCTTTTCTATCCTGAAGTGCTTTGGTGTGAATAGGGAATTATTTGCGACTCAACTTCCCTGCTTACCGAATTCGCTATTATGGACAACCTGCATTGAAGCTGTGGTCAGTTTGTTTCTTTTAATCTCTATTCACAGCGAACACGTGCTAACAACCTCCTTATATGGTTATTCTGTTCTCATTTTGAGTCATCTACACGTCACGGACATACATATTCTGATAAACAGTTTTGCATGTTTGGGCAAAGAAACGGACCAGTTTACACACTTACCAGTTATGGTTTCAAAAAGTTAAAGAGTCATGAGTTAAGTAGAATATCTTGAACATTTAAGAATATTTATACTCATGAATAAAAGGAGATTAATTCTGATATAATAACCGAAAAAATAAAGCAAAGCTACTCAAATTATCGATGAAAACGAGCTAAAACTTACATCGGTATGTATGTGAGTGTTGTTAATAAAGAAACTGCTTTTAATGGCTATAGATAAAAGTTTGGAACTTACCCATTCGTAATCAAAGTGATCGAGCTATCGGAGGTTTCTTTGTCTGCCTTGACAGATACGAAAAAAACGTTAAACTTGTTGGTTGGAAAACCAGATTCTGAAACCGTCAATTTTCCGATAAGGTCTGTCCCCAAAGTAATTTCCGTGCTAGGGACTACTGGGGTGCTGCCGTCCAATAACTCAAAAGTGAAAGCCAGCTCACCACTATCTGGAAAATATTAAACAGCAAAACGCGGAGGACATTTATAGATGAATCCTCTATAAAAGCAGAAAATTTTCACTAAAAAAACAGTTTTTGACTGAGTATCTAAACCAAGCTGTCAAAACCATAAAATGCTTGAACTGAAACTTATATTAACATAGACTTTATACACCTACTGACTTGCGATCTTACATTTCGTTACTTTTTAGACGCTTTATGAGGATAACTTATACATCACGCTGTATTAGCGTCAGGTTTTGAGACATCCCAATGAAATATATATGCTCTTTTACAAACCTTTAAAATGTTTCATTTTGCTTATCTTTTTCTTTCCTTTTTTCTTTCTTTCTTTTTTTCTTTTCTTTTCTTTCTTTTTTCTTTCTTTCTTTCCTTTTTTCTTTCGACATTCGTCGCACCATAGTCTGATCTAACTGCCGCTGCCGTTTTTTTTGTTTTTTTTTTCGAATATAATACTCGTCTTTGAAATGATCTGTGAATTTATCAAACCTTTTCAACACAACACCTTGGAGAAAGAGTATCATATGCATCACGCTGTACTAATGCCAGGTGAGACCTCGCAGTGAATATATGCTCTTCACGTACTTACAAACCTTTAAAATTTTTCATTCTGTTTTATAAATGAGACAAAAGATAAACGCAAGAAAAATAAACTGCGACATGTCATTGCGAAATAAGGTTAATGCGATCGAATTTTGTGAAATTGTCATTCCAAGTGACATAACAGACCACTGAGCTGTCAGCAGGAAACGCACTACTTTGCCCAATCGGTAATAACTTTATCGTAAGCTGTTAATCATCCCTACTTACCGGTGCCAGTTTCAGTGATTGAATGTTGAGGTAGGAAGCTGGCCTGAAGACCCTGTTTTTCCCTGTTATATGTACATGTTATCGTGTAATGGTGGTCATACTGAAAAGTCGGACTACCAGAGGCACTAACTTCGATCTTAAACTCGTAGTCCAAAGTAATTCCGTCGACGTTCTCTGTCAATGAGTTCATGCAAACATCGGCGCTGAACGCACCATATTTCACTTTGCCTGCTACAGATGTAAATGATGGCTGACAGTCTGCGTTCGAAGATCCGCTATGTTTCAACTCCCACATGGCTTTATTGCCGTCATCCCACTGATTGATATCAGGGATGACGAGTGTAAACTCGATATTTGAGACGTCTCCGCAGATAATGTTTTCAATGGTCGTTGTCTCTTGTTCATAAGCTGTTAAAAAATTTTAACAGGGCTTTTTACATAATGAAATGAAAGTGAGTCAGTTAGTTCTGAGTCAATCGGCTTATTAATCACTAAAATGTATTGGGTTATGGAGACGAGAAGGATGAGATCGTTCAATTTCTGTAGCTATTTCAATTTCAATTTTCAATTTCTGTAGCTAAAAAAACCTACTGAAAAAATATATCTTAATCGTCCTTTACTCGGAAACATTTATTTTTAACTTCTTTTTTAAGAAAAAGCTGATGTTAGCCGATAAATAAATAACTTAAACCATCAAGGTGTCTTCATAATGTTTCAATGAGCATGAAAAGCTACTGGACTTCCTTTAGCCTAAAAATTGTCGTAAACATTTAATGTAATGAGGATGACATACGAAGGTGAACTTACAAGGCGCAGAATAAAACGCAAGAAGGACGACAATGATCGGCAAACAAGGTGGTTGCTTCATTTTTTTCTCACTTCTTAATGGGTTTTCAGGGGAACTCTTGTGGAATTGATTTCCTGAAAAAGATAAAACCATCATAAAACCGGTGGTCGTTGTTTCTCATTTATCTTTACGTCTCTTTCTACCTGGAAAAATTGGGAAAGAATGGGAAGATAAAATTATTTAATGCGGATATCAATCCGCAGATGATTCTATGAAAAAAGAAGGGAAAAGTATGTTTCAACTAAGGGCTCTAACTCCGCACTTTAAATCGAACAAACACACAAATTCGTGAATATTATTTCCCATGCATAACTGCACTTATTTAAAAGATCTCTCTCGTCTCTGCAACTGATTAGGGTTAACGTACTGGTTTTTTTACCCTTCACAAAAATGATCAACAAAGTGAACAGAACATCTTCATCAGGAACCGAATCGATCAGTGCCTTAAACTACTGGTAACAAGTTGTTTTTTCTGAAAAGCATTTGAACTCATGCGACATAGCAAGAAACCAAGATCAATAAAAAAATAACTGGAACTGTTGAGCATAAGATGTTTTCTAGTATAGGGTGATGTACAGTGTTTGGTTTGCGAAACGTCTCCAATCATTGGAACATAATTTTGTAGCATCATTCCCATTTTGTTGTTACCTCGCATATTTTGTTGGATTCCTTTGTCTTGAATGTCAAGGAAATGTAAAGTCTCAGCTCATAAACTATATTTTAACTTTAAGGATAACGACCGCTGCATTTCTCGCACAGAAACAGAAAAACAGATCTAAAACCGCAAAACCGAAAATCCCAATGACCCTTCCTAAAATGGCTTCCTTGGTGAACCAAGCGCTTATCCCTTTATCTAGCGCCATGATATTCATGACCGTGAATGTCATGGCACATCAACAGGTGTATCAATTTAGGTTACCCCTGTGAACTCATCTCTTATCCTGGAAAGGAAAACCTATAAGCACCGAGGCAATTTCTTCCTCACCCTAGTCTGGTACCAAAAAGGTGAACTGCTGGACATGGCAGAAAAACACCATCGAAACTGTTCTATATTATGTTCACTAATATGTTGTTTAGAAGGGAAATACCTAAAGTTTTCCCAGCGCAAACATGTCGTGAGATAAAAGCCTTATTCTCTTTCCTTGTCATTCTTTGTCTTTGATAGAAGCCCAGAGACCCCGCCCAGCTTTACAAGTAACAATGAACAGCTGCTTCTAGACTCATTTCGATCTTTCGATCAATCTCGTGTGCGCTCTTCGAACATTCCATGCATTTGATCAAAATTCCTTTCATGCTGAACGAAACCGAAATAAAAAATGATTAAGCGGCAGGTCTTTTGGCTCGGAAAAGGAAGCAAAATATTAAACTGTCTCATTAGTTGCTCTTTCTTCCAGCTTTGTGAATTTATGTCCTTTTATGGGGAAGATATTTTAATCCGAAGAAAAGTTTCATTCCCCGCTTCCATAATTTCTAGCGATAATGCGTGGATAATAGTATTTGCTCCAAAATCAGTCACACTGGACACCGAAATCTTGGTCACAGTTTGTCTCAACGGAAGAACCAAACAGTCGTCAGGTTGCAAAAGTTTGAAAACAAAATTAGATTCATTTAATTTCCCTACTCTAAAATCATCGCTGACGAGATGGAAGAAATCTAGAATAACTGCAGAAGCCACGCCATATTTAGTACCCTTCGCCTCAAAAACCAATTGTGCTCGCACTTTTCTTGGTTGAGCAAGCCGCAAAAATAGCAAAGAATAAAGACTTACCAAAGCTTGGAAATTCACTTCTCTTAGAAACTGCTTTTGAAAGGAGAAGTTCGTAAGAAAAAAACTGAACAGTAATAGATGCAAGGTCTGCTATCGACAAGTTACAGCTACCCGTCTCAGAGCTTGGCTGTAAATGACGCACGACAGCTTGATCGATCTTATCACCAACTCGAAAACAAAAATGTGGAGACCAAGTGTCTCCACTGAACGGACCCTTGACCGTGACATCTGAGAATAAAAGATGGTCTTCATGCTTGAGGTATTCACTGTAGTCATTGACAGGGAACAATTTTCTAACTATCTGTTGCCAAGGTAACTGTTATTTTAATGAACTTTCTGAAAATCACGGCACGATAGTAAACGAGTACGAAAATGATTTGTTTAAAGATGTGGGTTTTCTAGAATCAATTTCAACAGAATTGTAATGTCATCTTACCTCTCCAACTTCTCGTGATTGTTCAAGACAGCAGGTAAATTGAACAAAAGGACCACTGTTCCCTTCTAGAAACAAAAAACCTTTTTTTATTCCTATTCACTTCCCTGCCTTCAGGGAAATTCCATTACGTAATTTCTAGACTAGATTTTTCCGAAGGTAATACACTTTTATAATTCACGAACAGCTGATAGAGAAATGAAAATTGATATTGCAGAATATACCATGACTTGAAATTTGGGATTGTTAAAATGCTGAAAAGTTTCGCCGTATAAAGAGGAGATAAGTTTCAAAAAGGAAGTGAAAAAGCCGTGCAGATGGTTTTAAATTCCGTAGTTAAAGGGGTTTGTCGTTTATGCAATTAAGAAATGATTAAATAATCAAAAAACGCTACTCCTGAAAATTTTCTCTCGAGTAATCGGCCAATTCATTATACAGGCTTAACAAGAAAGCGTGCTTTTCGGGCCTGGAGCAGTTGCTAAAAATAGATAGCTAGAGCAAACTTATGTAAGAACAGTCCTTCTTAATGCCACAAATAGACAGACAGCTGAAAAAATCACAATACCTCTTTTATTTTGGTACTACATCGAAACGAAACCTGGTAGAAGTCGTAGTTGAAAACCATTTGTTAGAGTAGAAGAGGGACGAAGCATCATGTATCATTTAATTAGTGGACCAAATTAATTGCAGTGTCTCATTGATGAAAAAAAAAATGAAAATAATACACTGGATTTTGGAACATACTTCCAATTAAAAATAAAAAATAGATGCGATTCCATGTTTTAAATTTCGTAGCTTACATGTGGCACCAGTTTGAGTCGGTTACATAAGAGGAAATAGCAGAAGACCGGACGAGGAACATACCAATTGAACATACCAAGAACCATATTACTACCTGAAATTTTCTCCTTTCTGGAATAAACGATTCCCTAAAAAGTTTTTCCATAAGTTTACTAAATAACCATTCCGTGATCGCGGCCCAATGTGAAGCGTGGCTGTCAGGTAAAGTGCCATGCCTTTGTTTAAATAACAATTTGTTTATTTTCATGCATATTAGATAGACTTTCCGGAGACAGGTCCCTGAACTTAGCCTTCCTTTGAAAGGAAGATGTTTCACTGGAATTTTAAAATGGCCAATTATTAAATAAACAAGTCGTTAACAGAGATTCTGCAGATAGTTTGTTTTATCATAGGCGGCCCAAGCTCCAGCTGTGACATGTCATCTTGCGCAATAACAGTCATGGCGGAATTATAAGAGTTTGTATGGGCATATTTACGACCGCCCTCAGGAATAAAATAATACGTCAAATTCTCAAAAAAAATACCTCACCTTACTTCTACAGCGTAACGCTTGTTATCTGACCGCTTACTTTGATGAAAAGGACGCATTTTAGCGAGTTGTCTTATGAAAGTTGAAAACGTCGAAATGGACAACTCGCTAAAATGCGAGATACTCTGGGGGTAATAGAATCTTAATATTCCAACGTGATAAAGAATACTTTGCTTTTCTGGGTACCTTCGATCGCTGTTACAACCCCACACAGCACAATGATCGCCACGAGGCATATTTCCAATAATATTTGTGTTTACGAGCTCAGAAATAAGCCAGAAGTAGACTGCACACACTTATTTACAACTGAAAAAGCTTGAATTGGTTACATACTCGCGAGTATTACTTAATTTCGATATATTTCAAGACCATTACGAGATGTCGATTTCACAATAAACCTTACGCAAGGAGAGAACTTTACCGGTAGATTTTAACGCATATTTCATGGTTATTTAAACAAAAACTTACACTTCCCACGTATAAACATTGCTTTAATCCTTTTCTGATAAAACGGCTGCAAAAAAGCACTGAATTCTCTCAAAGATCTTTTTTTTGGACTCTGAAATTACTTTCCGCCATAGATTTCTTTTTAACAACTTGCAATGTTTGCCCCGTGGCAATCTCAGAACCCATTGCGTTTAGTAAAGGGCTCTGATTATTGGCAACTAATTCGTTATGGTTCAGTTAGGTGACTGCTATTTGCTCCCTATGACATTACACACCGGGCCCTTGTACGGTGAATGTCGCCAAAGTTAAAGTTGGACGTCAAGGACAACTAAAACATATTTTTCATTTAAAGTGATCTTCTTTATACCCGAAGACGAACTTTCGAACAGTTTTAAGATCTTTTTAGTTTTATGTTTTATTTCATTACTATCATTTTACAAAAGAATATTGGGTTCCGCAGGTTCCGCGGTCCACTGAACATCCAAGCTTGTCAAGTAATGCGAAATATGTATTCGCGAATATACAGACTAAATTAACTTAGAGCCGGGCTGCTGAATGCTTTTTGAATGACTCCGTGTGGTGCTTTGAAAGTCTTGTTGCAACACAGACTCATTTTCAAATTATGTCAAAGCAAAATAAAGTAATAAAGGCACCCTTCATTTGAAATATTCAAACCTTCATAATAGCTTAGAAAAAGGGGACAACCGCTATGGAGGAAATTAGATGTGTTCGCTGATATCAAGAGAAGAGACTAGAAGAACCAGAGGCTGAGTTATGTTACCTCCTAACTAGCTCACAGGTGCTCTATGGTTAAAATTTTCCCACAGTAATTATTCACTTTAATTACTTTCACCTTGCTCCTGTAGAATCTTTTGCTTGTCGCAATTAGATTACGAATAAATTACACTTAATGAAAGATGCTTTTCGTTTTGTCACGAGGGTGGGACAAAGAAAAAAATTCCGAGCCCCCATGAGGAATCGAACCTAAAACTTTCGGATTCCGCGCTCCGATGTTCTACCACGGAGCCACAGAGACTCTACGGTGTGCGACGTCGATTACGAAGTTCATATGATACGCGTCCTGCTTACTGCTAGGATCAGTATTGTCGATAGCGTCATGTTTGTAAATTAAACTTTACTCTAGAAGGTTTCGCAATTGTCTGGAACACTCCAAGGAAGAAAATTAATGGAGAAAGGGGTCACTGAGCAAAGGAAACGCCATCTCAGAAGAGAAACTTAGATATTACAAAGTCAAGGTTTTATTGTGAAAGAATTGCTTCTAGCTCATAAAGAGGGTAGAGGCATGAATTTAACAAAGAATACCATTTAAAACTTTGTTATCTCCCTCTTTCTCAAACTAAAGGCCTTCCTAACTTTGAATTCATATTTATCGTCGTTACTATATTGTCATCCCATGATTTAAGCTTAATATGAAGTATGGCCCCACAACTCACGCCACGCAAACATGTCCATCTAACGTTGTCGTAATAAACAGATTAAACCATTTCCAAGATGCCTCGAGCAAGGTGCCTTTTGATATGAAAATGAGTTGTTTCCAGTTAATTGTCAAGCAAAGAGACTCTATTTTCACCTGAAATTTTTTAGCCTCTTATGCGGGCAACGTTGCATTTCTGGAGATTGAGATGACTTATTGAGAGACGAAGAGGTCATTCATTAAAGGTGCCGCAAAGAGATCCGTTGCAACCGAGACCGTTTGGTTGTAATGAGTTTTCATATCAAAGAAGTGAAAAAGTGGATTTTTGAGAATTTTTAAATGGCTTAGTGTGGTTCCAAAAATGCTCGATTTTCGTGTTCAGAAGGATCAATTTAAAATTGCCTGAAGGCATGATTTTATGATGATGGCAGCCTTTCTCTGTAACTTTTCGAACGCACGCCCACCACGGCCAAGGTTAGATTTTATAAAAGGCACTAAAAGAATTAAACCCAACGTGCAACGGCTTTTAAGATTTTGATTAGTACGTCAGTTTCGTCTCTATTTGACTTTGTGTAAAACCGTAGTTTTTTGCCGAGAGTCTTCTTTGTTCAAAAAAGGAGGTTTATTTTGCATTCTCTTTAAATATTGAAACCAAATCAAGTAGGTAATTAAATGAAAGACCGATGTTTTGTTTGCCATTATAGCCCAAATCATGATAACGAATCCACTGAACAGAGAAGCAGATAAAAACTTGCTCTTCCGCTTCGCCAGCCTCTAAAAATGCCATAGGACCAGGTCTAATGTAATACAAGGTTTTCGAGGTCTCGTTCAAAGTACTGCGTCTTTTTCGAGCACCGAAAGTGCACTTGCACCCAGCAGAACCGTTATAACAAACCTTGGTTGTGACGGTAAATACAACTTTTTGACTTTCCGTTTGACCAGAGAAACAAAAAGCTCGAAATGAAAATTCGTCTTCATTATTACCATCACAGAAAGAAGGGTCATCCACCAAGGATTTTTGGTCGTTTTCTCTACAGCTGAATGTAAATAGAAACCTCTCTTTAGTGAATCATCTATAAATCAATTTGTAACCAACTTATCAGTATCATGTCAAAATATCTTTCCCTTCCTGAAGCGCTTTGGTGTGAATAGGGAATTATTTGCGACTCAACTTCCCTGCTTACCGAAATCATTATTATAGACACTGTGCATTGAATCTGTGGTAAGTTTCTTACTTTTAACTTCTATTCACAGTGAACACGTTCTGACACCCTTCTTATATGGTTATCCTGTTCTCATTTTGAGTCATCTACACGTCACGTACATATATATTCTGATAAAGAGCTTTGCATGCTTGGGCAAAGAAGCGGACCACTTTACACACTTATCAATAATGATTTAAAAGAGTAAAAACGTCATGAGAGTGAATTATAATATCTAGTAGATATAAAAATATGAATACTCATGAACAAAGGGAGATTAATCCTAGTAGGATAACCGAGAAAATAAAGCAAAGCTACTCAAATTATCGATAAAGATGAGCTAAAACATACATCAGTAAATATGGATAAATGAGACCAAAGATATACCCAAGAAAAATAAACTGCGACATGCAATTGCGAAATAAGATTAATGCAATGGAGTTTTGTGAAATTACCATTCCAAGTGACATCACAGATCACTGAGCTATCAGCAGGAAACGCAGTACTTTGCCCAAGGGGAATTAACTTTAGCGTAAGCTGTTAATCATCCCTACTCACCAGTACCAGTTTCAGTGACTGAATGTTGAGTTAGGAAGCTGGCCTGAAGACCCTGTTTTTCCCTGATATACGTACATGTTATTGTGTACTCGTGGTCATATGGAAAAGTCGGACTACCAGAAGCACTAACTTGGATCTTAAACTCGTAGTCCAAAGTAATTCCGTCGGCGTTCTCTGTCAATGAGGTCTTGCATTCATCTGCACTGAACATACCATGTTTCACTTTACCTGCCACAGATGTAAATGATGGCTGACAGTCCGTGTTCGGAGTTCCGCTATGTTTCAACTCCCATGTGGCTGCATCGACGTCACTCCACATATCGAAATCAGGGATAACGAGTGTAACTCGATATCTGTGCCGTTTCCGCACTTAATTTCTCCATTGGTACTTGCCGCTTCTTCGTGAGCTATTAAAAAAATACAACAATTTCGGACCTTTTACATAATAGAATTGAAGTGAATCAGTTAGTCCTGAGTCAGTCAGCCATTTAACCACCAAAATGTACACAATTCAATATACTTCGATTGTATCGTTGGGGTGATGGAGACGAGAAGGATGAGATCGTTCAATTTCTGTGGTCTAAAAAAAATACTGAAACAAAACCGATATGGCTGACTTATAGGCTACTCTCCAAATGGTACTTGCCGCTTCTTCGTGAGCTATTACAAAAATGCAACAATTTCGGACCTTTACATAATAGAATTGAAGTGAGTCAGTTAGTCCTGAGTCAGTCAGCCAGTTAACCACCAAAATGAATACAATTCAATATACTTCGATTGTATCGTCGGGGCGATGGAGACGAGAAGGATGAGATCGTTCAGTTTCTGTGGTCTAAAAAAAAATACTGAAACAAAACTGATATGGCTGACTTGTAGGCTACTCATGTCTATACTCGTGCTTTACTCGAAAAACTTTATATATACTCTTAAACTTATTTTTTAAGAAGAAAATGATGTTAGCTCATATATAAATAACTTAAACCATCAAGGCGTCTTCAATATGTTTCGACGAGCACGGAGAGTTACTGGACTTCCTTTAGCTAAAAAATGATCATAAACACTAGATGTAATGAGGGTGACATACGAAGGTGAATTTACAAGGCGCAAGATAAAACGCAAGAAAGACGGGAATAATCGGCAAACAAGATGGTTCCTTCATTCTTTTTCTTACTTCTCAATGGATTTTTCCCTAGAACTCTTGTGGAATTGATTTCCTGAAAAAGATGAAACCATTTCAAAGCCGGTGGTCTTTGTTTCTCATTTATCTTCATGTCTCTTTCCTCTTTGAAAAATTGGGAAAGAAATGGGAAGATATAATTATTTAATGCAGATATCAACCCGCAGATGATTCTATGAAAAAAGAAGAGGAAAGTATGTTTTATTAAGGGCTCTAACTTCACGCTTTAAACGAGCAAACACACAAATTCGTGAATATTACGTAGACTCATGAAAAGCCCACCTAAAAAGACTTGTATACTTGAGCCGATGCCAACTTCCTCAGTGATTGCATGAATTGAAGTTCTTCCTCCTGTTCTCACGAAAATTATAAACTTTTCCTTTGAGTCAGGCATGTTTGCGGATAATTGGAAATGTACTCTCTTTAATCCATTGTCAAAGATACCTGGCTTGGATCTAGTTCTCTTTCGGTTGAAAAACTGAATAGTAACCACCTTGCAAGGCCTTATATCGATCGGCTATAGTTACTTGTCTCCGAGCCCAGCTGTGAGCGGCGCAAGACAGCTTTATTGGACTTGCTATCTGTTCGAAAACAAAAGGAAAGAGACCCTGCCGTTTAATGATCAGACTCCTGAGTTCTGAGAAGAACACTTTTTTCCACGCTTTGTGTTTTCGCAGAAATTCTCAGCAGGGTGCGTTCTTTTCAGTCCTTCTTTTTAATATAACAGTGTTATTTGTGTAAACAGTTGGAGTATCTCGGCACAATAAACAAAGTCAACAAAAGTGAATTGATTTAACCCTGGGGTTCTTGTAGAAGCAATCCATCTAAAAGCTTAATGCCCAGCCACATCTCTGGGCCGTTCAAAATGTTCACAACTAGACAAGAGGTTTTCCTTTTAATTCGCTTTACTAAAACCGGAAAAATCAAAACAGGCGAAATTTGGAATGCTATTTTCCGATTGTATTGCTTAAAAACTTTGATTGATATGATTAACGCAAAGATATGCTTCTTCAATGAGAGAGAGAGGTACAATCCACAATGTTTATCCAGAAAAAAATACTGGAATTTTATGAACACGAATCCAATTTCACCCACTGAAATGGTAATAGAAACAGTTATATCGTCTATAGGTTGGTGAACATGCGCACCATTTTGCTACCATTCACAACTACTACAAGTGTTTTTAGAACATAACAAACCACTTTAACGATTCTGTCTCTTTCGTAGGAGCTCTGAAAGAACTTTTCTCTTTGATTGGGCTCTATAATGTGGACACCTTTAGAGAAGTTTTCAAGATTTACGAGATGGTTGACCCTAAAACAGTTCCAGTCCCCTCAAATTTTCCTTTGACTCTATTTACACGCATACTATTGAAGTTGCCGTATTAATAGAGGTTAAATATCAAATTCTCCTAACCAAACAACCCCTTTCTGATTCGGTGCAAAACGAGAGCTGAAATTAGGTTTTTTGTAGGTGTTTTCATGTTTATTCCTTCGTATCAATTGCAATGCAAGACAGCCGGGGGCTTAGGTTTCTCTCAGTGGTGATATTAAATGACAAAGAACAGCAAAAAAGTAATACATATTAGGAAAGAGTAGGTTTAAAGATTTCAATGATCGGTTCAGTTTTACCTTAAGAGTCATCTAAAGTTCCCTGCGGAGAAAAGCATTTCCTAAAATTGTATATTGAAAACAATCGCACCTAAGGTAATGAGAAATAACGCTCGAGTGCATTCTCAAGTATTCAAGAATGGACTCTGCCTACTGAACTACCGAGAAATTAAGCTTTTATCTCAGTCTGTTGTTAAAGACAAATTGAATTCATATGGGCTCTAAAAGGTTTCTATTGGCATTCATATTGACAGTCCTACTTCCTATTGACATTATCACAGTCTTTATCAATGACGATAATTAATCGTCATCGTACTGGAATTAACCAGTATGTCCGGGATGAATTAAAAAACACAGCACTTTTCCCTCTAACTACGCTCATATTTTGGTATAATTGACACCAAAAGTGGCACGATAAAAAGAATTATATTGTTAGGATATAGTTAAACAACTTTTGTTATTTAGTTTTTTCAAAAATTCTGTTGGAGAAATTTAAGGGTACCACACAGCGAGTGCAAAATAACACAAATTCCTGAGTTTCAAATTTTCGGACACTTTTCAGTGGGACAAGCACAGTTCCGCACTAACGCGCAAGACAACTAAAACCAGTAATGACAGTTCTAGTTTCCTTAGGCAGACAAGAAAACACTTCTTATCTTAAAACACGGAAATTATTCACACAACTACGCACGCGTTGTCTTTCTGAGATATCTCTGCCACAGACGCTTGAGGTTGAACTGTATTGTGAAATTCATGATACAAACAGGGTGGATTTTGAAACTTTGTCCCCTTCTTGAATACTTATGCGCTAAATTCGTTAAGCGAAAGACTGCGCA